GTGTGATTTCTCCACATTTTATGTAGGCCCTTAATTATGATACAGTCTTTAATTATATGTTCACATACCTTAATTTTCCCCACAGGGCCTCTGTCTTATTCAGAGCACGAGTTGGATATACTTTAGGGGTGAATCAGAGTTGTATAATGAATAAGGCTATTTTTGTAGAAGTTGCAAGGTGTGTAGTGACTGAGGCTGGGAGTTGCATGAAGAGTAAGAATAGATAGTTGCATGGATAAGGCAGTTGAATAGTGCCCTGGAGAAGTGGATTCTATCCCTGCTTCTTCCACAGAGTTTCTGTATCATGCTGGGTAAGTCATGTCAGCAAAAATTCTCACAAGTGGCCCGTGTCTGTTCCTCACTTTCAGGGTGCCTCTTTTGCCAAAGTGCTGAACGCTCGCAACTTCAACTGATACCAGTGAAGTAAGTCACACAGCACAGCACCTCTGTGAAGCAGAGAAGTGTCATTCTCATTATGCAGATAACTTCCCTGTGCCTCAGATTTCTAAGTGATTGCCTTTGTTCTCACAGAATTATAGCAGAGCTGGGATCAGAACTGTGATTTCTCTAGGTTCTGTTCATTACGTACTGTTTTTTCCTGCTAGTCAAAGCATGTTTCAGAATAGTTTGGTAACCTGCACAAGCATTGTCATGTCACAATTATATTTAAATAAAACCATACTGTTTATAATGAAATGACATACTCATAGCTGGGCGGGGGGTGGGGGAAGTAATGCTACTCTCTTTAGCCAGCTCTGTGATGCAAATAGGTAAAATGAGTTTTCAAAGAGGCTTCATTAAGGGCACAAGAGCAAACTGTCCCACTGCATAGGAAAGGTGGGAAGTATGGCTATTGATTGGCACTGTGGCTTAATCAGGAGATCTTTGAGTTTCACATCACTAAAGGAGAGTGCTACAAAAAGTGGAAACTAGGTCAAGTTACAAAGATGAATTAAACAAATAACACATGTATTTAGGGACAAAATTAGAAAAGCTGAGGCAGAAGATGAGCTCAAATTAGCTAGACATAAAGGGTAACAAAACATGAAATTAATTAGAAGCAAGAGGAAGACCAAGGACAGGCCTGCTACTCAATGAGGGGGAAAATAATAACAGAAAATATTAAAATGGAAGAAGTGCTAAAAGTTTTTTTGTTTCAGTTTTCACCAGAGAAAGATTGATAGTGATCATAGGTCTAACATAGCGAAGATCAGTGAAAATGAGGTAGAATCTGAGGCTAAAATAAGGAAAGAACTAACTAATAATTACTTAGACAAGTTAGATGTCTTCAAGTTTTCATGTCATCAGGGCCTATACACCCTAGAATACTCAGTGTAACTGAGGAGATATTTGAGCCATTATCTTAAAAACTCATCTCATGGAAGACAGGAAAGATTCGAGAGCACTGGAAAAGGGAAAATGTAGTACCATCCTATAAAAAGGAAAATAAGGAGAACCTAGGGAATTACAGACCAGTCAACTTAACTTCAGTATCTGGAAAGATAATGGAGCAAATAATGAAGGAATCAGTTTGACAATTCCTAAATGATAATAAGGTGATAAATAACATTACCATGGATTTGTCCAGAACAAATTATATCACACAAACATAATACTTTGACAGAGTAACAAGCCTCATTGATAGGCAAGAAGTGGCAGATATGGTATATATTGACTTTGACTTTCCATAAACACATTACGGAAATACAACCTAGATGGGACTACTATAAGGTTGGTGCCTAACTGGTTGGAAAGCTGTAGTTATTGGTGGGTCACAATAAAGCTTGAAATGTATATTAAATGGGGTCCCACAGAAATCGGTCCTGGGTTTGATTCTGTTTGATACCTTCATCAGTGATTTATATAATGGCATAGAGAATATTCTTATTAAGTTTGTTGAAAATCCCAAATTGGAGGGGTTGCAAGTGCTTTGGAAGATAGGATTACAATTTAAGATGATCTGGACAAACTGGAGAATTGGACTGAAGTAAATAAGATGAAATTCAATAAGGACAAATGCAAAATATTCCCTTTAGGAAGGAACAATCAATTGCACACATACAAAATGATAGTCTAGGAGGGAGTACTATGGAAAGGAATCTGGAAAGAACCACAAGTTAAATACCAGTCAAGAGTGTAACTGTTGCAAAAACAAATCTCATTCTAGGGTGCATTAGCAGAAGTACAGGCAGTCCCCGGGTTACGTACAAGATAGGGACTGTAGGTTTGTTCTTAAGTTGAATCTGTATGTAAGTCGGAACTGGCGTCCAGATTCAGACACTGCTGAAACTGACCGCCAGTTCTGACTTACATACAGAATCAACTTAAGAACCCCAGGCGTCCCCAAGTCAGCTGCTGCTGAAACTGATCAGCAGCTGATTCCAGGAAGCCCGGGGCAGAGCAACT